GGCGGGGTAGGGTTTTGTTGAAAATACGGGCGGGCGAAGCGGGTAAGACTATTTAAAAAAACTACGGGGTGCAGGCGGGGCGAGGATAGATATGCACGGGTTCGGGCGGGTAAAGAATTGTTGCGGGGCACGATGAAGGACCGTGAAAAATTATCGATAAATGTTCTTATTATAGGTATGCACTACGAAGTACATTTTGATAGGTTCATTATTTTCATCTTATTAATAGCTACAAGTAGTGATGGGCCAAAACTCTTTATGTTAGAAACGAAAGAACGAAAAGAAAAATTCTTATGACTATGGTGTAAATAAAACGTAATTTTTCTTTCGTTCCTGTACGAAATTACAAACGCCGTGCTCAGCAATGAGAATAAGATATATGTGATTCCGTAATTTTGATACAGAAAGGCAAGAAAAATGCCGTTAGTTACACCATAGTCTAAGGAATTTTTCTTTTCGTCCTTTCGCTTTCGTGTTAGAGTTTTGGTCGATCACTAGCTACAAGTTTACTTCTTCTTTGTTTCTTCCTTTCCTTATCGTTTCTTATATTGAACTTCGATTATTTATTTGTATTAACACGCGAAAAAACAAACAAGAAATCATTTGATATTTAAAATTAATATTTGGAATCGATTTACTCTCTTATCAATAACAATAATCTCAATACATATTTTTTTAATGAGGAAAAATTTGACGGTGTGATGTCATCGAATATCTCGTGTTCATATTCAAAATTTGAATATGAACAAGAGGTATTCGATGACATCATACTGCTTCGATCGGCTGCAGCTCATTCAAAGATTCACGTATAAACTTTGCCTGAATTTTTTTTGTAGTAATTTGATCAATTATGTAGAATAAGTCACTGAAAATACAACAAAGGATGAAGAAAAATTTTATTCGGGTTTCATGGGTGCGGGGCGGGGCCCGTCAAATAATCGACGGGGCGGACGGGGCGGACGGGGCGGACGGGGCAGACCGGCGCGGCGCCCTATACGGGGCGGGCGGGATGGGGTATAGGTTGAATGGGGCACGGGCGGAGCGGGGAACGCTAAGAAAAATTACACACGGGGATTGACGAGGCGGGTTGGCGAACGCAGCGGGACGGGTCCCGGCGGGGCATCAAAAATCGATGCCCCGCCCACCTCTGATTCAAACCTTTGTGACTCTATTAAATATAACTGGTTGTTCGACATTTCCGTACTTGATCTATGATAATGAATAAGATAGAATATCTGTCATCAAAATCAGTTACACACTGAGGAAATTAATCCACTTTATAACTACGATGTTTACGATTTAGAGAATTCGAAGATAAAATTAACGTTTACAAACGTTCCATAGTAATTCTCAAATATCAAGTCTATGTCATATAGTTACAAAATCTTGTTAAGAGAAACAAGATAGGACTTGAATGAAACTGATACAAAAAAAAGTGTTCAATCAGGTTGAACTATGCATCGTTATAAAAACAACTTTTTGATTAATAAAGGACAAAATATGATTCATAATTAGTAAAACATAAAACAGAATTACATTTATTATAGAATATTAAGAGATATTGTTTTGATAATTTTCATTTATGTAAAATAAACTTACTAGTTGTCCAAGGAAAATCATCTGGTCGCCAAAGACGTAATGTTTGTAAATTAGGCATATATGTACTAAGAAAAGGTACAAGATATTTGCCAATATGGGCTACGTCGCCTCTACACTTATGACAACTTGGAAGACCAAATTCAGCATATCGAACAGTACTTAATGCGTTCGTTCTTAGATCGTCAGGTATCTAAATAGAAAACAACAAAAAACTAATAATAAATTATACTGTTCGATTAGAATTGATTTGGCAAATCAGTGTAGATGTTTTAAAGTGGTACGAATAAAAAACAGTTGATCTCTTTACGTCGCCAATAATTTTTCATCGCGATAGATATATAACGACAAGTGCTAATAAAAACTACCTTTCTTTGATACCTATAAAGTGTTTACTCATTATCAAAATAAAGATTTTAACACATATATTCATAAACATATGTCTAATTCATAAATAAAAAAAACTGCCTTACATATTGAACAATATGTAAAAGCCATTCGAATCGTTCAACTTGAAGATATTTGAGCTGTACAGTCATTGAAATGAGATTAGCGAATACTTTTTCACGTATTTGGTTTCGCTTTATCAATCCACTTGAAAAATTACCTAAAAAAGAATTCAAATTCTACGTTATTACTATAAGAATATTTATCTAGTAACGAAATAGAATTATTCTAATCGATATACTCTAAATTAAAAAACTAATTTTCTAAATTCTACTGTTTAGATCGTACATTTGAGAGTAATATGAGAATAGAGGAAAGATTTGCTAACCAGTCATTTGTGGAAAAAGTAACAGGAAAATAAAAGTCAGTTCTGTCTATGAGAATAATTCTAATATGAATAAATTGAAAATTAGTTAAATATGTCAGAAAAATTATTTCAAGTTTTGCAGCAATCATCTGAAAATTATCCCAAATTCGAAATAATATTTTTTTTTTAAATTATTTTTATTTATTATCTACCAGTCAAGAAAAGTTGTAAAATATTTTAGATATTTATTATTAAAAATAAAATAACCAACTTGGCAGAATACAATATTTTTCATCTTGATCGAAAATATCTCTCAATTATGAATCAATCATAACATTTTTCGTTCAATTTTATCATCTATATCTCAATAAATCAACATTGTTCACTGCAGTTCTCCATCGGTAGCACC